TTGAACATTGTTGTAATGTGTTCTTAATTTTTTTTTTTTTTGTATATGCTTATTATATGTTATTGTTGTTTAAAGACATTGAGAAAAAAAATTATTAGTTTATATTTGTTTTCTTTAAAGGACTTTTGTGAATGCAAACTACAAATGTTACAATAATTTGAAGGAAAATGATTAGATACAGTTGAAAGTCATCTTTTTAACAAAATGTTAAATAGAAAAATATTTTTTACATACCTATTTTTGTCATTTTACAGAGTTATAGCATTTTTATATTAATATTTACTAAAAGCCTTTATCCTGTTTTTCATACTTACAATAGTTTCAGAAATACAGTTTATTACTTTATTTTGTAACTAATTATTCTTAAAAGAAAAACTTAGTTGCTGAACAATTAGCAGCAATTCATGCTAAAAAGTTAAGTGTGGTTGATCCTTGGTTTGACACCTGTAATTTGTTTTCTTTTCTAAAAGTATTATTCAATATTAAAAATACTCATGTAAAGGACTAGAATACTCTTTTCTAAAAATATTCTTCATAGGCGCCGATATCGTTCAAGTTTCTTCCGTTCATTACTCTTTGTAGACAAAAAGTTAATTCTCTCACCATTTCTAAAGTCATGGATGCTCTTTAATCTTTCTATCTCATCAGCATCATGTATGCATCAGTTTTAGTTTTAATTTTTGGCAAATTATTTAATGGGTTCTTGGTATTAACGAGTGAGTAATTTTTCTACAAAATATGGAATGAAGGAGACTAGTAAGAGAGGGCACTCCTCGAGTAGGATTATCTCCACTTCTATTTCCATCATCTTCCATCCCCTCCTCTCACTCTTTTTTTTTTGTCTTATTCTCTATGTAAAAAAATTCAAAACAAGATGTAAACGTGGCGTAATCGTAACCGTTTAAATAGAAGGGGATGGAAGGGAAGAGAGATTATGAGGGAAGAGAATCATACTCCAATTAGAAGGATATACTTTTCAAAATGAACAATTCTGTAGAGGAAAAAAAAAGGTTGGGGGCGGGGGGAAGAGTCAAACCAAGAGCAACTACATTGGCTTTAGCAGGAATCATGTTAATTGTCCAGCAATGTTTTTTTTAATGTACAACAAAAACTGTTTTAAAAATAAGCACATCAATTCTTCTTTGTCATCTTATATTTTTATACAATATTTTATAATATTGATACAGAAATTGACGTTAAGTTATTACACAGCAGAGAGAATCTCATTCAAAAGATTCTCCTTAGCATTTTTAATGAACGAAGGGAAGCATTTGCATTCTCGCATCATTGCATAACCGCATAATTTACTAGCTAGCATACGTTTCTTCTTGTCAAAAGAGATATTCATAAAATATCCAAAACGAGCCCACAAGCTAGCACATCATTGCAATAACCGCATGACTGACTAGCTAGCCTACTAAAGCCTATCCTAGCCATTATAATACGGTTACATCACTTTGATTTTTTTGAAATTTGGTAGGTATCTTTCTTTCTTTTCTTACAAGAAACGATTGGTTGATATTTATTAATTAATCAAAATAAACATAAATATGTCAATTTGTGCATATTTATGAGTGTGAGTGACTTTAAATTCCACCTTCCAATATAATTAGAGATGAGTGTGACAATGTTTTTTGTTGTCACGTCCCGATCCCAACATACGTTGAAATCGACACATGACAAGGAAAATAATGTTCTTTGAATACGGTATAAGCTACATAATGAAATACTTTAACTGATAACCTAAAATAATGCGAAGGTGGCTAAGTTCTCCGCAAAATATTTACAAATATGTACATCAAAAAAAAAAAAAGCATAATCTGAGCTTTACTAAGAACAAGTATGAGGTGGTCAAAAGAAAGTCCCAAAAGATAAAGTACAAGAGTAGAATAAGGGTAACCTAACGCTCCAAGTCTCTGATAACTGCACTGCTACCCCACCTACACACTTCTCGGAGTCTACTCAAACCTGTCACCTGTACGCTCAGTGCCTACACCATCGTAATGGTGCACCAGGCAAACAACAACCTATATAAGTTGCGAAGCTTAGGAGAGTTACAATAATATCAAGTATGTGATAATAATGCTAATGCCAACCATCAAACACAGTTTACATATCTTAAATATAAATCATTCATAAGAAATCAATACTAACTTTTGTAAACCCCGAAGGAGTCACCCAGACATCCAACGGTTCGTCTGCCACCAATCATAACATCTCATAACCATCTTCCCATACAACACAATGCAAAGTAAGTTTAAGCAACACATTTTGGCCTAAGTCTAAAGCTTTGAATCCATCTCTATTCAAATTCAATAAATTCTAAGGTGAGTAAGATTCCGAACCTTCACTCAACGGAATCATGAAATAAGAGGGATTCCGGACCCTCACTCAACATAACAACTACATGAAACCCAAGTTAGATACGATTCTAAAACATCACTCAATGGAATCACAGAATAAAAAGGATTTCAGACCATTACTCAACGAAATTCGAGTGGATACGATTTCGGACAATTACTCAACGTAATCGTAGAAGACCAACAATCAGAAAGTATATCAGCTCAAAGAAATGAGACAAGCACATGCTACTTAATTTACAAAACTCAACAAAAGAAGATTATGCATCATTACTAAATTTAGAACCGATCACCGAAGCGGAAGATGAAACCATATCAAAGTAATGAATTCCCATCATAATGATTAGCGGTCATTACTAGTCCTCACATTAATCTCAACATGCCAATCATACAAATCAAACCACAATTCTAATATACATGCCACACCCTATTTCATAAACATACTTTTGAGGTCGAAGTATTGGAATAACAATTCAATAGAACATATTCATAAAACCAATTCATATCCACACAGGATCATAATTATGACAACATAGTAAATAACAATATCACATATATTATAACCACTCACCTATAGTCCGTGCTAATGTACCCTAGCACGATAGTCAATGCATCACGTTCTTGTCACCGCCTAACAAAACACAAGTCCTCATTTAGATTTCCTTCGATAAATCACAAACTCAAACATTCTCATATGTCTCCCACAACATTTAATGAGGAATTGAACCGTCATTCTAATGTAGAGTCCATGATCTTACGTCAATTGCTTCGTAAAATCAAATAACTAGATTTTCACTTATAAATCCCTAAGGTCATTAAACAATATCTACAATAGCCTATTAAAATCTTGCCTCAATTCAATGATAAGATTGTCAATTATTCTCTAATCAAGTGGCAGCCTTATTGACAAAATATACACTCAACAACATTTTCATAATTCGAATGTCACAAAACGGAAAATTCAATTTTTTTTTCTTCCAAAAATTCTCAAACTTTACAAGAATGAAGATTTCAACAAGTAGAGTAAACTTTATACATGTGGCTGGGTCCAATTTGGCTAAGAAGGCCCTCAAATTGGCTCGCACCCAACGAAACCAAAGGTGGGTGTTTTTCGATTTGGCTTCATTTGTGTTCCAACGCCCCAAGCACCAGTTGGGTCTTGTTCTTGGGTCCAAGGGAAGTGGATTTAGGGTGATGGTGAATGATGATACTCTCCGAAATAACAATTTGTTGTTGAGAACCCCCGAGTTCTCCTATGGAGTTCTACATGAAATAAACCTTAAAAACCCTTAATTTTTGGTAGAGAGGGAATAAGGAAGGTAATTGAGCAAGTTGCAGGAGAAGGAGGTGGAAAAATGGAGGCATTGGACTGAATTGGCCAGTTTTTCGCTAGAGGACTCACGGTTTCATGAAATATTTGGGGGGGGGGGGGGGAGATATGTGCCGTTCCTTTTTTTTTTACCCAATAGTTCCCTTTCCTTTTTTTTTTCCCAATAGTTCCCTTTCATGTCCTTTTAATAAAAATCTGGCAGGTTCCCTCTTCCATTTTATTTTATTATTATTTTTTCTTTACTAACTTAACCTTTAACCCATGCTTCCCACAAACTATAGTTCACAACTTCAAATATCCGTAATTATACCGTTATAATTCGAACTCGCAAACGGCTTTCGCCTATGCGTTCATGGGTTCAAGATCTATTTAAAAACACTAGTTGTAACTTCGAAATGTCAACGAAAGATAAAAATTGATTATGAAACTTCCATCTCGATAACTAATCAATTTCTAAACTTATAATTAGTAGAATTAAAATTAACTAATAAAGACAACATAATTGCAAATACGAATTTAAATTACGAAATACGTAATAAATGATGAAATTAATGGGTGCATATAGATAATTCTTATCATATTCTTGGCTCGTAAGTGACTCGAATACCATTATGATAACTAATAGCAAATTAATGGGTGCATATAGATAATTCTTATCATATAAAGTATATACAGGGTAAAGTAGAAGGTGACTGCAATTGAAGATAAAATGAGAGAAAATCAGTTAAGGTAATTTGGACACATGAAGACTTACAGATACTCCGATTAAAAGATGCGACTATAAGACGAAGGTTCATGGCAAAAATATTAGAGAAAGATCTAGAAAGACTTGCAAAGACAATAAGAAAGATATAGACTAGCTGACGGAAGATTTGACACAAAACCGAACGTAATTACGTTCTAAAATTCATATAATAGATCACATTTAGTAAGATAAGACTTGATTATTTTTATTGTGTGTGGAGATGATCTTTAATGAATATCTCACTAAGTAATACCATTAATAGCCTTTACGCATGACACGAAATATTTCCTCAATTAGTATTAGTAATTGTAGATAAGTGATGCTAGTAGGCGATCAATTGGTCATCCTAACCTAGTCATTTAGTCGGTTGTATTCAGCTAGTCTGTGTGACAGTGTACTGGCATGCGTGACTAATTGGCCAAAACATATCATATATAGCAAAACTTATGTACATTGGATTGGACCAAGTATATAACTTACTTTATGCTATGTTTGGATGGGGTCTTCCAATGTCACAAGAGATTGAGACGCAAATCATCATCATTAATCACATAGGCATGCATGATTCCCCATTAGCACAACACCTACTCTTGTAATGTTCATGTAGCATGTGATAATTTTTCTGTTGAGCTTTTATGAAATAAAGGTGGTAGGTAGTAGCTTGGCTAGTGTACACGTTCTCATCTAATATGTATTTTGTGGTCACTTTGGGTTGTTTTTAACAAAACACTCTAAAAAAAGTGAAAAGACAATTTGGTTTTATATTATAAAATAAAATTATGAACAATAATGTAATTATGCACAAATCATTTTGCATTTTTTTATTTCAAACCTAACCCATATGTCATTATAATATCTCTAATTTAAATAAAAACTCACATTTATCTCAAACTTCTCTCTTTTCCATATTATATTTTCTTTCTTTTCAAATTTAAAGACACAATGTATAAGCTTCATCTAATACGTTTATATATAACGAGACTTCCTTAGAATATAGGGTAATCAGTTTGAGCTACAAAATATTTTTAAGAGCAACTAACGACGCCCATAACATTAATTAAAAAAAATAAAAGATTAAGCAGGTTAGTACAATTTCAATGCTTCCATGAACCAGCAGGAATAATATCTAACGCCCATTTCATTAGTTTTTTTTTTTATAAAAAAAAAAGATTATGCATGTGTTCTTCTCATTTATTCTAAATGTGTTTTTATTAGAGTATCACTGTAAACAGTTATTGATGGTTTAACAGGGGAAGGGTAATTTTACTACTCACTCTTATTGACGGTTCTAAAATTCCCTCATCCCACCCTGATTGAAACACCCCCTCCCTCCAAAGCGCGTATTACAAAATAGTAATTTTACTACTCACTCCCAGCTCAAGGCTAAATGACAAAAATTGAAGCATTATTCCACACCAAAGATAATAGATAAAGGGACTTGCAATTTCATGTGTACAAAAGTTTTATAATTAATGGGATTTGTGTCGGTTGCTGAGGATCACACAAACCTCCACCTTATCATTAACTTCCCAACTTATTCAGTCACCATGAGTGGATTTACAAAAAGTTCATGAAAACCAAGTTCATAATAAAAAAGTTTCATATAGCATCAACATTGGAAGTGGCTGAGAATCTCTTGATATACTGGTAGATTGTATGTAGTAGAGATCAATATAATTTATAAATGATTTTGCATGTACCGCCTTTCCATTTAGCACGACCGTCATAGTTCTAAGGCAACCGGCCATATCAATCACTTGTTTTTTCATCAATGCAACAATGTTGCTATCAAGATTTTTCATGTTATATCTACAACAATCTAGTCTGAATGTTATTGTTGTGATCCATGTAAGGTTTCTCGTCACTTTAAGGTTCTGTCAATGCATAGTCTTTAGAGAACACCTGAAATTTGTTAAGAATCAAACTATTTAGCTCATTAAAAAGATAAACAGTACCTAAGGACGTTAAGATAAGGACATGCAAGAACCAAATTCATCTTAGCCACATGATTATATTAAATCAAATCAAACGGATTAAAATATTTGCCAAATTCGTCCTCACACGATCTTAATTTGAGATCATTAGGTGATATTCATGTCAAAACAATTACCGTTTCATGAAGCTCCTTGCCACTGACATTGTGAACTCATTGCAAAAACAATGAAACTTTGTTCCATCGACATGGATACTTGTGTTGTTACCACAGACGAAGTTCTTGCCGCTAATAGTAATTAAGCTACCACCCTCCTGTATTTGAATTTTCAGTTTGCCGAATGTCTTGGACGAAACACTCAAAAAGATGTCGTGAAACATCCAATAGAGACCGGAAGCATACGTGACAAAATGATTTATCATCTCCTTCTTGTCATAAACCCATAAAGTTTGGGTCAAGTGATTAGCCAACTTGTAGTTCCTCTTATCTGTTTTCGCCGTTTGTTGTGTAATCTATTCAGGAAATCGTAAGAGCATATTTGTGCGATTGTTATGAATACTTTGAGTTTAATCTCTCTCGTTTATGTGTAAATAGTCAAGCCACTACCTAGCTACCACATTTCTTTCATAAGCTAAAAGCTTGTTTGGCATCATGTGATCCCTGTTTACATAGGCTCAAATTGCACATCTTGCGTTACTAGACCACACACACATACATATATATATTGTTTAAGGGGAGGGATCCTCATTCTTTTTTAAATGAGGACACGCTCCCCACCGTTGGATTTAATTTTAATGAAATTGTGTGACCTATGTTTTAATCTCAACCACACAATTTCATTAAAGTTAAATCCAACGATGGGGAGCGTGTCCCTATTAAATAGGAATCCCTCCCCTTAAGTAATATGTGTGTATTGATTAGCATGTGACAGTTTTCTAATAAGCTTTTAGCTTATGAAAGAAATGTGATAGCTAGGTAGTAGCTTGACTATTTACACAAACAGGAGAAAGAGATCAAACTCAAAGAATCCATAACAACCGCACTAGCACAAATACGCGCTTACAATTTCCTTCACAGATTACACAACAAACGACGAACAGACAAAAGGAACTATGGTTTGGCTAACCACCTGACACAAACTTTATAAGTTTACGACAAGAAGGAGATGATCAATCGTCTTGTCACGTGTGCTCCCGACCTCTACTGGATGTTTCACGACATCTTTGTGAGTGTCGCATCCAAGACACTCAGCAAACTGAAAGTTCAAATACAGGAGGATGGTAGTTTAATTACTATTAGCGGCAAGAACTTCGTCCGTGGTAACAATAGAAGTATCTATGTCGGTGGAGCAAAATTTAATTGTTTTTGCAATGAGTTCACAATGTCAGTGGCAAGGAGCTTAATGAAACGGTAATTGTTTTAACATGAATATCACCTAATGACCTCAAATTAAGATCCTGTGAGGACGAATTTGGCAAATATTTTAATCCGTTTGATTTGATTTAATATAATCATGTGGCTAAGATGAATTTGGTTCTTGCATGTTCTTATCTTAACGTCCTTGGGTACTATTTTTCTTTTTAATGAGTTAAATAATTTGATTCTAACAAATTTCAGATGTTCTCTAAAGACTATGCATCGACAGAGAACCCTAAAGTGACGAGAAACCCTATGAATCACAAGTATGAGACGAAAATAACATTCAAACTAGATTTTCTAGATACAACATGAAAAATCTTGATAGCAACATTGTTGCATTGATGAAAAAACGAGTGATTGATATGGCCGGTTGCCTTATAATTATGAAGGTCGTGCTGAATGGAAAGACGGTCCAAGCAAAATCATTTATAAATTATGATGAGATCTACTATATACAGCCTACCAATATATCAAGAGTTTCTCAGCCAATTCCAAGGTCGATGCTATATAAAACTTTTTTATTCTAAACTTAATTTTCACAAACTCTCTAAATCTACTCATTATGGGAGAATAAGTTGGGAAGTTAATGATAAGGTAGAGGTTTGTGTGACCCTCAGCGACAGACACAAATCACAGTAATTATATAGTTTTTGTACACTTCAAATTGCAAGTCCCTTTATCTATTCATGTTTGGTGTGGAATAATGCTTCAAATTTGAGTTATTTAGCATTTAGCCTTGAGCTGGGAGTGAGTGTAGTAAAATTACCACTTTCCCTGCTTGATTCCGCATACAACGGCCACAAGTTGTGGGCATTTGTGTAATACACGCTTTGGAGGGAGGGGGTGTTCTGTCGGGTTTCAATTAGAGTGGGTTAAGGGAATTTTGCAGAGTGACAAAGGGTGGATGGGCTTTTCAATTCGGAGGCTATTGTTCCAGTTGATTGGATATGTCATTTAACTGTTAAATGTTGGATGTACTTTTCACTGTTCCGCCTCGTGGCTATAAATAGAGGTTCAATTTGTTATTTTTCAAGAGTTTCTACTCTGAACAAACCTAATTGCAGGTTCAATCCTTGCATTTTCTGCTTCTCAATTGTTTAATCTTTGTTATTTGTTGTGTGTTTAAAGAGTTGATCGCTTTGTTGATGGGTTATTTAATTTATAGTTGATTTTTTGGTTTCCATGTGTTGTACTTGATACATGTTCTGCCATTTTTCACATGCATGGGGTGAGTTATTTTTCTTTCTGTTATTTTTTTTTGGAAAAAATAGAGCCGTGGGTTCTGTTTGTTTCCTGAGAAATTTAAGAAAAATGAAGAAAAGTAAGTTTTGGATTGTTTATGTTAATTTTTAATTTTCTCACAAACCAAACATAGGCATTATAGGATGCTGACATTACCGAAAGAAAAAGTTTTTAAAGTTAAATTTTGCTGTTATTTAGTTGCCAGATTGCATATCTTTCGAAATTGCTTATGTTCCAAATACAACTCTTTGGTTACCAAATTCCAAATTGCTTCTGTTTCCAAGTTGCTTCAACTCAATAATTTCACGAACCTCAAAAATTACAGAAAGTAAAGGCAACGGCGGTACCTCTCGGGGTCGGGAGGAGGGAGTTCGCTGCAGGCGGGGGAGAAGAGATCGGGAGATCGTTTGAGGGGTTTGAGACTTAGCTTCTTCCATAAACAATACACCTAGAATTCCTCAAGTTTTCAAATGGAAATTAAACATTTACATAGCTTATATAAAAAGCCAAAATATAAAAAATTAATCAAAAGGTTTAGAGAACTCACATCCCAATCATGCTCATTGCTGATATTAACAACCACTGACAGCAGCCCTTGATTTTTGGAATTCCCACGCCCAACTCCACGACCTCTGTCTCTGCCATCGCTCTTTCCCTCACAACCATACCCATTTTGGACCCACCCCGCAATCCCGACTCCAACCCTTGATTTGAGGAGGAAAAAATCAATCCAACACTCTGTTTGGCAAGCCTCACTCCTCCCTCTCCCTTCCCCTCCCTGCCAATCCACGCCCATCTCCCTCGTTGTAGCTCTGCAACCCACGTTTTTTGGCAGACCTCCCTCTCCCTTCCTCTCCATGACATTCCACACCCTCCTCCCCCATTCCGTAAACCCAGCCCAAGCCTTAACCCAACTCCGGCCCCCTCACTTTCTCGAAACCAACTCTCATACCCTATAACGCAGCACTGTCACTCTCTCGCAATCCACTTTGAGTGACACAGATGCAACAACCCTCGCCATCTCTCCCGCCGTCGCCTAACCCCAAAATCGCGATCAACCATGGATTTGTGAACTTTTGGGTGTTGGTGCATCTCTCTTGTTATAGATCCGTTCACTCTCGAAACACAACAGTGCATGCATGTGTTAGATCTTTGATTTTTCAATGCCAACAAACCCAGTGGAACGCAATGGCAGCCATGAAAGATTCTTACCTTTGGGATTTGGGGTTCTGTAACCAGGCTCTAACGAGATGATCTCCAGGAACAGACTCGAGAGCACTAGAACAAATGGCAAGGAAGCTCACGGATGAAGGCTACGTTGTGCGAGGTTGAGAGAGAGAACGGTGCCACATTGCTGTTGAACTGAGATGGAGGAGCAGCTATGGTTCTCCATTGGAGAAAGATGGATGACAGAAATGAAGAGGCTCTTTCGGTTTTTGAAATAAGGACAACAATCGTTTGTCCTTGAAATAATGTGCGAGAGGGTTGGTTTCAGAAATGGGAGAGAGATCTGACCTTTCATTTGGAATCCTAAGGATGCATTGCACTGATGCTTGCCACGTGTCCAAGACTGGTGTTTCCCATGTTTGTTCTGACATGAGTGTTTTGAATTAAAAGAGGGAGGGTTCGGCCCTTGGTTCGAGAATAGTAAACGAGGAATCCAATGTTTTATTCCTACCGGTGCTAGGGTTTTGATACACATGTGCCGTGCACATGGGTTCGCGTGGGCTGGGCAGTTGTTTTGCGGGTTGGGTTTTACCACGAATTGATCTTCCATAGGCCGTGTATGTGTTTCTTCCAGGCCCCACGTTTGTTTCCCAACTGGAGTCCATTTCCAACCCATGTGTGTACATTTCTTATTTTAATTTTTAGATTGTTTTGAGTTTTCTTTTATTTTATATTTGTTTTTTTTTAATATGTCGTTTTTCTTATAGTCAGTTAGCTTTAGATGTTCTTTTTGTTTATTTATTTATTTTCTCACACCTTAAGGATAATGTGTGATTTAAGTTTTGGGGTGGGAGAATAAACTTTTTAATTTTTAATTTTTTAGTCAATAAAAATAAAATTTTTATTCTTTTTAAGTTAATATCCATAGATTATTTTAAACGTTAGAACAAATGGAAAAGTCTCAATCTTAAAAATGGACAGGGTGAAGATTAATCCCACAGTATCAATAATATCGTGAGATGAAACCCAAAAATACTTAAAAATGCTGAAAAGTCTCAATCTTGCGCATAGAGGGATTCGAACCCCTCATTTTGTCAACCACGCACCTAGACCTTATCCAACTCGCTACAAATGTGTTTGTGATTAGTTAATAAATATTAGCTTGCAAGCCTTGCAGACATCTTAACGATTGAGAGCTTTGTAAATTTGAACCTGTAGAATTTTTGATGTGTATTTCATGAAGAAACAATTACAAATGAAACATATATATAGGAAAAGAAAGTAGACATAAGCCTAACTTGCCTAATTTTCTAACTTGCCTAATTTACACAAAGAATGTTGACTAGCCTAACTTCACTAGTCATCCAACATGTTTATTTCATGCATGCATTTTACACAAAGAATGTTGACTAGCCTAACTTCACTAGTCATCCAACATGTTTATTTCATGCATGCATTTTAACACAAGATATGACTTGCATGCATTCTTCCAACACTCCCCCTCAAGCTGGATCGAGGGGATTCACTGAGCCAAGCTTGCCCAATAACCGATGAAACTGAGATGATGCTAGTGCCTTTGTAAAAAGATCTGCTAGTTGATCATGGCTTCGTGTGAACATGGTCCGGATGATTTGCGTTTGAACTTGAGCTCTGATGAAATGACAATCCACTTCAATATGTTTGGTTCTTTCATGGAACACAGGATTGGCAGCAATGTGCATGGCTGCCTGATTATCACACATAAGCATCATAGGAGTAGAACTAGGAAACCCTAAGTCTGAAAGAAGCCCTTTAAGCCAAATGAGTTCACATGCAGTGGCTGCCATGGCTCGATACTCAGCCTCTGCGCTGGAACGAGCAATTACCTGTTGCTTCTTACTCTTCCATGTGACAAGATTTCCACCAACAAATGTACAATAGCCTGTGATTGATTTCCTATCAATTGCATTACCTGCCCAGTCTGCATCTGTGTAGCCACTAATGACAGTGGATTGATTGTTATGCATTGTAATTCCTTGCCCAATTGAACCCTTAAGATAACGAAGGATTCTCTTAACAAAGTTAAGGTGATCAACAGTGGGAGAGTGCATGAACTGACTAGCCAAGCTCACTGCATATGTGATATCTGGACGAGTGATAGTGAGGTATATGAGCTTGCCTACTAATCGTTGATAGTAGCTTACATCATGCATGGCTTCTCCATCTATGCTGAGCTTCAGTTTACAATCAACGGGAGTGATAGCAGGCTTGCAGTCAAGCATTTTGCTTCTTGAAGGAGGTCCAATACATATTTTCGTTGATGTAGAAACAGTCCTTTTGAAGATGTTGCCATTTCGATCCCCAAAAAATACTTTAACCTCCCCAAATCTTTGATAGCGAAAGCTTGATGTAGTGAGAGTTTTAGTGCCTCAATCTCCACGGTATTATCTCCAGTGATGATAAGATCATCAACATAGACGAGGACCACCAACTTCCCCCTGATGCCAGTTCTTACAAATAACGAAGAATCAGCATTACTTCGCATGAATCCAGCCTTTTCCAGAACAGAACTGAGCTTGGCATACCAAGCTCTTGGTGATTGTTTCAATCCGTATATTGCCTTGTGCAATTTACAAACCATGTTGCCTTTAATACCATCATAGCCTGGAGGAGGTTGCATATACACTTCTTCCTGCAGCTCGCCGTGAAGGAAAGCATTATTCACGTCCATTTGGTAGAGTGACCATCCACAATTGATTGCAACTGACAGTAAAACCCTGACTGAGTTCATCTTGGCCACCGGTGCGAATGTTTCCTTATAATCTACACCAAAGGTTTGGGTGAAACCTCGAGCAACAAGTCTAGCCTTGTGTCTCTCGATAGATCCATCAGCTTTGAATTTAGTCTTGTAAATCCAACGACTTCCAACAGCCTTTTTTTCCTGGTGGTAGTTGAACTAGGCTCCAGGTGCAATTCTCTTCCAGTGCACGAATCTCTTCTTTCATGGCTTGGTTCCATTGTGGGAGAAGAGAAGCTTCTTGAAAGCTTCTTGGTTCATAGTGCTTATCAATTTCACTGAGAAATGCAGCATGAGATGTTGAGAACTTACTAAAGCTGATACATTCATTGATTGGATGTCGTGAGGCATATGTAACATAGTCCTGCAACCTAGCTGGAGGTTTTCTGATTCGAGGAGGATTTCTTTTAATCACCTGAGATTCTGTAGAGGGCGGAGAAGGATCAGAGTAGAGCTCGTCTTCACTCTCACTGGCAGTAATTTGGTCAGTTTGAACTTCTTCACAATCTGGACTTACAATGACTGATCTCTTTTCCAACATCGGATAATTAAAGTTTTGAGGGAGTGGGAACATGTCAACTAAATCCTCCCCCTGACTTGTAAAATAGGGATAGTCTTCTTCGAACTTCACATCTCTTGAAACTGTGCACTTCTTAGTGACTGGATTGAATCACTTGTATCCCTTTTGAGTGGTCGAGTATCCCATAAACACACACTTGGTTGCCCTGGCATCTAGTTTTGTCACGGTTCAAGGTTTGGATGTGAACAAAAACACACACAACCAAACACCTTGAGATGTGTCAAATCTATTTTCCTCCCCTTGAGAACTTCATAGGGAGATTTAAACCCTAGCACACGACTTGGAAGTCGATTGATGAGATAAGTGGCAGTAAGGATGGCAAACGACCAAAATTTCTTTGGAACGTGCATGTGAATCATGAGAGCACGAGTTTTTTCCAAAGAGATCTCTATTTTTCCTCTCGGCTACTCCATTTTTGTTGGGGAGTCCCCACACAGCTGGTTTGATGTATGATACCCTGAGAACTTATGTATTGAAGCATGTTGTTGGATAGAAATTCAGTGCCATTATCTGACCTTAAAACCTTAATGTTTGATTGAAATTGTGTTTTAACATGCATGTGAAAGTCTTTGAAAATGGTAGGGACTTCACTTTTTGATTTCATAAGATATAGAAAACTTGTTCGAGAGAAATCATCAACAAATAGAACAAAATATTTAAAACCTTCCATTGATTCAGTTGCAGGTCCCCATACATCGGTGTGTACCATTTCAAAAGGTTTACTTGTCCTAGACATTGAATTACCAAAAGGTAGCCTAGTAAACTTAGAAAATTGACAAGTATCACAAGTAGGATATGGGTTACAAAAATTTGGAAACAGTTTCGACAAGACAAGTTCAGAGGGGTGAGCTAATCTCCTGTGCCAAAGTTGGTTTTCATCTATGGACTTCGATTGAGCTTGAAGAGCCTGAGTGAAACATGCATTCTTGCACAGGTAGTAAAGTCCATTTATGAAGACCCCTTCACCAATCATCTTCATGGTGAGAACATCCTGAAACATTACTTTATTTGGTGAGAAAATAGCACGGCAGTTTAGGGTGTTGGTGATCTTTCCAATTGACAAAAGTTGGAAGGGAAAGGTTGGTACATAGAGGGCAGTGGAAGGTGTGTTTTGAGAGAGTAAATTTATTTCTCCTTTTCCCAAAACTAAGACATTTTTTCCATTTGCAACAGACACATGTGAGGGGCTTGAAATTTTTTTAAAATGATGTAAATTTGTAACTTTGTTTGTCATATGATCTGTGGCGCCTGAATCAATTATCCAACAATCAATTTCAGTACTAGTTAATAGGGCAGTAGTAAAGGCTTTGAGTATACCTGATGCTTCTCCCTTTGGAACTTTCTCATTTCCAGCAAGAAATCCGGCAAATTGTCCCAACATAGCTGTGTGACTACCCTTTTCATTGCCTTGACCATGTGAGCCTCCTCCGTGCCCCTTACTTTGTAGGTAAGTTGCAAATTCATTGATTAATGACAATGGATTGGCAGTGAACTCCATGGATCCTTGTGAGATAGTAGGAGCGTGAGCATTAGCAAGTTGTGCCTTGAAATGAGGTTGAAATTGTTGTGAGGACCTTGGTATCATCCTTCCATCTTTGCTGAACTTAGGCTTGAGTTCAGGATGAAGTTCCCAACACTTGTCTTCCTCATGACCAACACCATTGCAATATTTGCATTTTAGATGTGTGTTTCTTCCCTTGTATACCTTGGCTTCTGAGTTCTTGTACTTTGATGCATATGCCCGAGTCTCCGTTAATCTAGGATTGTGATCAACATTCATAACCTTCTTCCTTGCTTCTTCTCGTTGGATAGTTGCACAAACATTGTTGAAGGTAGGCAGGTCTTGACTCATCAAGATGTGACTCCTTAGGTCCTCGTACTCAGAGCTCAAACTCCCTAACAGCTGATAAATTTTGTCTTCCTCAGCTCGTTTTAGGAGAATGGTAGGATCTGTGGTATGAGGGAGATATACATCCAACTCATTCCACATGGCTTTGAGGCTCCCAAGGTGTTGAACAAATGTTTTCCCTTCTTGTTGAGCACTGGCAATGTCCTTCTTTAATTGGAAGACCCGTGCATAGTTGTTTTGATTTCCATACATATCCTGCAAAGCTTTCCAAAGGTCATGTGCGGAATTGGAGTAGCTAAAAAATTTCAGCAACATGTTTCTCCATGGTGTTGAGCAGTAAGGACATGACAAGTTGATCTTTGCAGAGCCATGCATTGTATGTAGAGGAAGAACTGTCTGGAGCTTCCACGCTTCCATTTACAAACCCTAACTTCCCTTTGCCTCCGAGAGCTAGTGAAACAGCTCGGGACCAAGGAAGATAATTGAACTCGTTTAAGAGAACTGAACACAAACGTTGATTGGTGTTAACCTCAACGTCTGAGAAGTTTGGAGAGAGATTGTGCCGGGTTTCCTCATCATGGTTCACAGAACTTTCTTCAGTCATGACTTAGACTTTGAAAGAAAGAAAAAATTGCAGCAACAAGAATGGCAGAGACAGGTTACAAATGAACCTGCTCTGATACCATGTAGAATTTTTGATGTGTATTTCATGAAGAAACAATTACAAATGAAACATATATATAGGAAAAGAAAGTAGACATAAGCCTAACTTGCCTAACTTGCCTAATTTACACAAAGAATGTTGACTAGCCTAACTTCACTAGTCATCCAACATGTTTATTTCATGCATGCATTTTACACAAAGAATGTTGACTAGCCTAACTTCACTAGTCATCCAACATGTTTATTTCATACATGCATTTTAACACAAGATATGACTTGCATGCATTCTTCCAACAGAACCCCTCCTTTTGTAGCGAGTTGGGTTTTCACTATAAAAATACCTGAAAAAAGGGTTAGTATATACTCCGTCTACTATTTGCTTACCCTCGTCTAGGAAATCTTGCGGAAGTTCAAATATTTTGGCCAACTTTTGTGTACGAGTTGTCAAAGTTTCCTTTGGAGAATCAAAGGAAGGGTTGACAATATCAACTTTCAAAAAGATCCAAAGATTACTTTTCACATCATCTGCTGTTACTTTTGCATCCTTGTGCTCTGTTTTGATAGTTTTCTGCATACGCTTTGCTATCTTGATTGCAACAAGTTCAACAAATCTCCAAGCTATCATTAATTTTCCGACTCATGCTATGTACCGATCGACATAATCAGAAAATGATTGTTCTTGAAACTTCTTTCCGTTCAAATCTATATGGGAGCTTAGCGCTACTCTTCAAGTAAATGAAAACCTTCCCTCTTGCAGCTTCATCCCAGATTTCTCTAGAACCATAAAGTTCTAGAGACCTAATACTTCCAGTAGTTGTTGGTTCAGCTTCAACCAAACTCCCATACTCTTTTAGGGAAATCAAAGTCCTAGTATAACTCAATATGCTTGAAATCTTCCTGCTATGTCGGTTCTAGGTGGAAATATTTCTACGCGATTCACGGAACCACATCTTAAATCCACAACGAATGTGCTCTCACAAACTTCATGACATCGTGGGTAAGTGAAGTATATGCCATGCTCCCATTCACAACATATCAAGTTCCTAAACTTGCTTGAGTACTGACTTATCTATCTTGTAATCTAGATTCCACTCTTTCATGTCATAATTTTTCAACACCCATATCTCAATATTACAGTCATCAGATGAAGTGCCCACGATGGCCAACGAACCTCTTAGACTAAGCAAATGAAGGTGTTGTGGGATCCTCATGCACCGAACATACTTATTGTGCATGTGCTCGGGAAGAGTAATAGTCCTCCAGTAGAACTCTTCTTTTTCTGAAGTTGAAAGAACATATACTAACTACTCCTCCATAACTGGAAAGTGAAGGATCAGGAAAGCAAACCAACCAATGCTGGTCTCCGTATGCAAATGCGCGGCTGTCGCTTAAATTACAAGGTGGAACCGAGGGTATCTCTCGCCACGAGCTTGTGCCCATTACATAAATTTGGGTCACTAGTTTACATATCATCGATTTTTTATCTCGGGAAACACGAACAATCTTGTAAGTGTTGGTTGCATCATCAAACCCCATAGCAAACCATTCCTCGAACGTGATGATGGAATATCTTGTATCATAGTTTGGAATGAAGATGTCAGTTGTAGGGAGCGGAAGAACTTCCCCCTTCAAAGGATTGAATAAGAAGCATGGACTGCTATCCATCCTCTTGCGCCCTGGATAATTATAAGCGCAATCCCGAAAGAAAAACAAGTTGTAGAAAACAGAAGCCAAAGAATAAAAAGCATTGAAGGAAGTGGATCTAATCTCGTAGACAGCTGCATGTTCGCTCCATGTCAAGGTGGTGTTGCTGCCATTGAATTTGAATTGCAATGGTCTAAAGGTAAATCCAGAATTAGAGAGGCAAAAGTGATCCACACGCATTAGAAGAAATAGATGATGAAGCAGCTTGCGCAGACAGTAAACGTTGCGTGTGCAGTGTACAAAAACTGGGGCAGTCGACTCTACCCTTTGAGGTCTTAGAGACGCATCGGAGGCCAAAAAAAAGAGATTATGGGCAGCCTCAAATGGATGTTGTCAAGGATTTCGGTGGGTAGCTTCATTAGCCTTGAATCATTCCTGCAGCAGGGCCTCAATCTCTGCTGGCTCCTTGCCATCTCCATTACCCCACCGATCAGATCAAAGATCTCTGTCTCAAGTTTTGTTTTGTTATCTTTGGGTGCTGATCACTGACTTGTGTGCTAAGGCTGTCTTAAGGTCTTGAGCTTCTCCATATTTCAATTTCAATCTGAAAGAAACGTCAAATCGTATCGGATTAGAAACCACATCGCTGAAAAAGATAAACTTATCATTTTTCTTCTTTTAATCTCAGCCAGCAGCACACAAGGGAAAGAAAAACTTACAGCAATTATATAAATCCCACCCCAAATCGCAATTGGAAACACACATACAAAAAAATCGAAAAAATTTAAATAAATAAAGCCTACCTATTCAAAACAGCCCCAACTTTGGTTTCGAAAATGATAAAGGAATCCGCATTTTAGAATAAGCTGAATGATAGATGCAGGGAGGATATGCGAGATAATGTTTTTCTTCCTTTCCCAATTGTATATCCTTTTCATTTGATATTAAAACGATATCGTTTCTATTATTAAAATAAAATAAATAAATAAATAAAAAAGCGAAATGCTAGACTCTCCTTACCCGCCTTGTTTTGAAACTTGGTGTAAGGTCGTGTTAGCGGCACACTAAAAAATTTCTACTCTTGTGCACATTCTCTCCTTTCCTCTCTTATCTGTTGCTTCTTCCAGGATCGTTGTGGATGAACAAAAATAAAACCAGAATTCAAAATTATCAAACATGGCTGCCAAGCTACAGTATTACATATAAAAAGTTCACGACCAAACCCCACAACATAACTCTCTGAAAAACGAGAAAAACAAACCAAGATCGGAATTCTATAACCGGAAAGTTATCGGGTTTTTCAATTACAAGAAACATTCCAGAACACAAGTTATGCAATTCTAAGGTCAGAAATCAAGAAATTGTGATGAAGGAATAGCACGAAATTAACTGAGATTAGGGTTTAGGAATTACCTTGAGAAACCAATTCTTTGATTTTATGATGGTGGTTGGTCGTGGAGGTGGACTGGTGGAGGCAATAAACTGGGAGTAAAAGGAAGGAGAGGAGTAGGTTTAGCCTCACAATAGGCCAGTAATGATGTGTTTCAAATTCGTTTTTTACGAGAATTGAACCTAAAACCTCTTACTTACAATTAAAAATGAATACTAATATACAGTAATATTAAGCAACGGTTAACTTCAAAATGAAATAATGCCCTTAAAGTTTTAAAATAATTTAAGGAGAATGTATTCAATTGAGATTTTAAGGGATTTCAATTCTTTTAATGAATCTAGTGATATTCAATTAAGATTTTAAATGATTATCTGAAATTCAAGGTCTATTCAATTAGAATTTTAAGATAGTTTATTAAAATCCTTAGAAATCCGAGTGTATTCAATTAGGATTTTAAAAAAAGTTTAACATTTCAGGTGTATTCAATTAAAAATTGATTTTAAAGAATTTGAGAAAGTTGAGGAATTAAAAGGATTTGGAGATATTTGGTAGTGTATTTTAAGTATCAACAAATCTCACATCTCCTCGTGAGATTTCGAGAGAATTGAATCAAAATTTTATATGGAATCTCTACAAATCAATTAAACTCCACAAAAATCCATGGATTTATAAATCCACTAAATTCTCTCAAATTCTCAATTGAATACATCTCATAAAATAGTTTTTTTTTTCTTTTTTTTTTAATGAAAAAGAATATGGAACATGAGAGGTGGACCAAAGAGACAGTTAAAGCTCTCGAGGCTGATTTGGAAGCTGCAAACAAGGAGTCCGAGAAGCTTATTGGGAAGACTGGCAAATCAATGTGGTTTACATATCTGCAAGATCTTGAAGGGGAACTAAATCCTGGTACCGCCAGATATTTTGTCCGTGACTGGAATGTGAGGCAAATTTATTTTCATCATATAGGCTTTTTCTTATTAAATCTTACACTATGTTTAAATGAACAAGTTTAAGAGTACTAAGGAATTTTAAAATAATAGAAATTGAAATGATGAAATTTTATTTTATAAAATTTGTGAATTTTCTTGTTTAGGTAACATAAAAGAACGATAGAATTGAATATATAATTTGTTGTTTTTAAACTCTCAATTATAGAAATTGGAAAATGATAATTATTTACATAGAATTTAAACTTGGGAATTGGAGGTCACAAATTTCAAGTTTTTTTTCCATGCGGAAATTCTATATTTCTATGTTTATGAATCCAAACAAGAGAATTGATGCATGTCAATTTATAAATTTTTACTTTAATCTAAATTCCAAGTTTATTTATCTCATCCAAACAAACATAGTACCACTTAAAGCTTTTGAGATGCTCAAAGTGATTTGGCAATTTTAAGGAAATATGAACGTCGGCTAATCCGAGCCATACCCTATCTTTATATATGGATAATCTTTCTGGTATTTCTAGACAGAGATCTGAGTCATTTTTTCGGGGTGTTTAGCCCCCATTGTTTACAAGAGGAAAAAAAAACTAATGAAAAGGATTAGGACTTTGAGTTTTAACGATAAAAATAAAATAAATGATAAAGTGAATAGTATCAGGATCAACTTTTTAGTATAAAAATGTAATTTTTTATTAAAGTAAAAAAAAAAAAAACTAGTGAGAACATTCAGACCGCAAGCATGCATAAACTTGTTGTACCAAAGGTCCAGTCCAAAGCTTTCAGATCAACAGTCTGCACTCACAAGGTTTAGGTTTACAGCGCAGGCAGATGCTTTGTACATGAACTTGCCAACGAGAACTAAATAACAAGCATGTAAAGCTTTAAACCAAAAGAAGATGGTTTATGATTTGTTGAATATGGAATGGCCTCAATTGAGTCAGCTTATATATAGTATAGAGGTTCTGAAAGAACCTCAGACGGGGTTGTCGGAAACTGACATTTATACGTAATCATCATTTTTAGACCACGGTTTTGTAAGCCAACTTAAATCTAGAGACAGAGATATCACAATAGAGAAAATATGTATTCTGCTAAAAAGTGATAACAAGATCATGACAAGTCATTCAAAATAAAATACATATAAGAAAGGAAAATGTTCAAATTGAGATACATGAAAATGAAATAAAAGTTTAGAGAAATTGAGACCGTCAACCATACAGCCCCCTCACGCTACTTGTCAAGTAAAAGAAATCCTTCCCGCTTGCAGCTGCATTCGACAATGATTGGGAATCATAATGTCTTAAGGACCTGATGATTCCAGTAGTTGGTTCGGGTTCAACCAAATGCCCATAATTTTTTAGAGAAATCAAAGTCCCAGTAACACTGACGATGCTTGTAACCTCGTCGATGGTCTCAGGTGGGCATGATTTTACACAATTCACGGTGCCACTTCTGAAATTCAAAAAGACTGTAAGCCCAAAATATCTATAACACTCTTGTCTAGTGAAGAATATGCCATGCTCCCATTCACAACAGGAAACATTAACAAGCTTACGTCCGAGTAAAGGAGCATCTATCTTCCACTCTAGCTTCCACTCCTTATCAGAATCGTGCAACACCCATATCTCTATATAGTCATTTGACGAAGTGTCCACAATGGCCTAACATCCTTTCAGAGTAAGCAAGTAAAGGTGATCTGGGACACCAATGGGCCAAACATACTTTTGCATGTGCTCGGGAGGAGTAAGAGTCCAATAGAATTCCTCTTTCTTGAAGTCAAAGGAACATATACCGAATTTTCCTCCATAAATATGAATTGGGCCATCAGGTAAGCAAACCAACCAATGTTGGTCTCCATTTGCAAATGCTGCATGATTGGTTTTGCCTAACCTACGAGGAGGAATCGAGGGTATCTCTCGCCATGAGCTTGTGCCCAGTACATAAACTTGGGCCCTCACCTTAAATGTTAACGAATATAGATGCTCAAAGACACGAACAATCTTGTACGTGTTGGTTGCATCGTCAAATCCCATAGCAAACCATTCCTTGAAGTGGAAAAATGTTTGAGGACGCTCTGGAATTACGATATCAGTTGTTGGGAGCGGAAGAACTTCCCCCTTTAGAGGATTGAATAAGAAGCATGGACTTCGATTCATCCTCTTGCACTCCGGATAACGATGAGAAAAATCGACAAAGAAAAGTAAGTTGTAGAAAACAAAACCCAAAGAATAATTAACATTCAACGAAGTGGACCTAATCTCGGAGACAATGGCATGTTTGCTTATAGTCAAGGTTGTTGGTATATGGTCCAGCCCATGATCAATGTTCTAGATTATTCTAGTAAGCAAGAGAGATGGCTGGAGCATGCTAGACAATTCTAGCATGTTATTAAGTTGATGGAAGAAGCTAGAGAGTACTAGCTTCCTTGGTTGCAAATGGAAAGATCTAGAAGCCACACTTTTGTGGCTAGTCTAGATTTTTCTATACTAGAGGTTTGAAGAAGGAACTAGAAACTAGTAGAATGCCAAGCCCTCACCTATAAATATGGGTGTGATGTAACCAATAGAGAACTAAGAGTGAGTAGCAAAGGATCAAGTCCAAAGCTAGAGTTCCACTCCAAGAGTGAGAGTGAGAGTGTTCCACTACACATTGTGTGAGTGAAGTTTAGAGTGATAGAAAGTGTGTGTTATACTTTCTTGTATCCATCAAGCCTTGTCTTTGGCTTGGTAAGACTACTCTTGTTGTATTCATCTTTTTCATATAGTGAAGATTCCTTGTTTGGTGGACGTAGGCATAAATTGCCGAACCACATAAATTCTTGGCGTCCATTTTCTACTTTACCTTGTGCATTCTCTATCTTGTAGTACCGACATTCCTAACAAATGGTATCAGAGCCCGGTTGGCTCGTACTACGAGATGGAAGGAAGTGGCACTATGATCAAACTCACCAACTCCAATTGGGTAACATGGAAGCCAAGGATGAATGACATTCTCTATTGCAAGGATTTGCATGAGCCAATTGAAGGAGATGCCGCTAAGCCCGAGAGCATGTCCGATGCCGAGTGGAAGAAGATGAATCGCAAGGCTATTGGCACAATTAGACAATGGGTGGATGATAGTGTTTTTCACCATGTGTCTAATGAAACCAATGCTCGCGAGTTTTGGACGAAGCTTGAGTCCTTGTTCGAGAAGAAGACCCCAGCCAAGAAAGCCTTCTTGATCAAAGAGCTCATCAATGTGAAGTACAAGGATGGTTTAAGTGTAGCAGAACACTTGAACAATTTCCAGAATATCATCAACCAGTTGGCTACTATGAAAATGACGATCGAGGACGAGCTACAAGCGCTCTTGTTACTTGGATCCTTGCCAGACAGTTGGGAGACCTTTGTGGTGAGTATAAGTAACTCTGCTTCTAATGGTGTTCTTACTCTTGATAATGTTAAAAATAGCATGCTCAATGAAGAAACAAGGAGAAAAGACTTCTGGCACAGATAGCAGCCAAGTATTTGTCACAGAGAATCGCGGAAGAAGCAAGAGTAGAGGGCCTAGAGGTCATGGCAGGAGTCCTAGCCGATCCAAGTCAAGGTTCAGGGGTGCATGCCACCATTGTGGCAAAGAAGGCCATATGAAGAAAAATTGTCGAGTTTGGAAGAGAGAGCAAAGGGAAGGAAACAATCAGAAGAAAGATGATACTGGCAATACCACCGCTGTCATATGTGGTGATGTACCAGAAATATTGTCTGTTGGTGAATGTCTGCATATGGGCAACTCTGACAGAGACATTGAATGGATCTTTGATAATGGAGCTTCCTTCCATGCTACGTCCAAACGGGAGTTCTTCAGTACATACAAAGAAGGTGACTTTGGCATAGTGAAGATGGGGAATGAAAGCTATTCCAAAATTCTTGGAATTGGTGATATCTGCTTAAGAACTAATCTCGGCTGCCAATTGATGTTGAAAGATGTGAGACATATTCCTGATATACGTCTCAATCTGATATCCATCGGTACCCTTGATCGACAAGGATATTATCACCATATTGGCGAAGGAAAATTGAAGCTTACTAAAGGCTTAATGGTGGTAGCAAGAGCACGACTTTGTTGTACGTTGTACCGGTCAAATGCCAAGGTTTTGAAAGGTGAGTTGAATGCTGTGGAAGACTCATCTCTAGACTTGTGGCATAAGAGGCTAGGCCACATGAGCGAGAAAGGCCTACAAGTTTTGGCAAAGAAGTCTCATATTCCCTTTGCCAAAAGGTACGTCGTTAAACTCTTGTGAGCATTGTTTATTCGGAAAACAAAGAAGAGTTAGTTTTTCTGTTTCATCTACAAAGAAAGGAAACTTGTTAGATCTTGTTTATTCAGATGTGTGTGGTCCCATGGAAGTCGAGTCACTTGGAAGAAATAAATATTTTGTTACTTATATTGATGATGCTTCACGAAGGGTGTGGGTGTATTTGTTGAAATCCAAAGACCAGGTGTTTCAGACATTCCAGGAGTTCCATGCCATGGTGGAGAGGGAAACTGGAAAACCTCTCAAGTGTCTTCGTAGCGACAACGGCGGCGAGTACACATCTCACCAGTTTAGAGAGTATTGTGTAAAACATGGCATACGTCATGAGAAGACAGTTCCTGGAACTCCACAACATAACGGTGTTGCTGAAAGAATGAACCGAACCATCATGGAGAAAGTCAAGTGTATGTTGAGGACTGCAAAGTTATCTAAGCAGTTCTGGGGTGAAGCTGTAAGGACAGCCTGCTATTTGATCAACCGATCTCCATCAGTACCATTAGGTCTTGATGTTCCAGAGAGAGTATGGACTGGTAATAATGTGTCTTACTCTCATCTGAAGGTGTTTGGTTGCAAAGCTTTTGTGCATGTGCCCAAAGAGCAGAGATCGAAGTTAGACTACAAAGCTATACCGTGCATCTTTCTTGGTTATGGCGGTGAAGATTTTGGTTACAGATTATGGGACCCATACCAGAAGAAGTTTATCCGAAGTAGAGACGTGGTCTTTTATGAAGATCAAACAATTGGGGATTCGGATAAAGAGGCACAACCAGATGGCGCAGTCAGAGGAGTTGATCCATTAGCTTCAGATGAAGAAAGTCACGATGACATCCCTGAAGCAACTGTCAATGAAGTGCCTGCAGAATCAGATAATGCTGATCAAGAGGAGCCTGATCAAGATGTGCCAGACCATGAGATTGCTGATCAGGGGGAGCCTAGTCAAGAAGAGCAGATTCAAGGAGAATCCAATCAGGGGGAGCCTCTAGCCCCGCAAGAGAATGAAGATCAGGTCAGAAGATCCAGCAGAAGTCGAAGACCGTCTACCAAGTATTCTTCATCAGAGTATATCATGTTGACTAATTATGGAGAGCCCGAAACTTATGAGGAGGCCAGAGCTCATAACGACAGTGATAAATGGATGAAGGCAATGGAGTCAGAGATGGATTCCTTATTAAAGAATAATACCTATGAGCTGGTGGAGCTTCCAAAGGGCAGAAAAGCACTGAAAAACAAGTGGGGTGTTCAAATTGAAAAATGACGACAACATGACAAGGTACAAGGCTCGTTTGGTTGTCAAAGGTTTTGGTCAAAAGAAAGGAGTTGACTTTGATGAGATTTTCTCACCGGTGGTGAAGATGACTTCCATTCGAGTTATCCTTGGTATGGCAGCAAGCATGGATCTTGAGCTCGAGCAGTTAGACGTTAAAACTGCATTTCTCCACGGTAACTTAGAAGAGGAGATATATATGGAGCAACCCAAAGGCTTTGAAGTCAAGGGTAAAGAAACTTTGGTGTGCAAGCTCAAGAAAAGCTTATATGGTCTTAAGCAGGCTCCGAGACAGTGGAATAAGAAGTTCAACTCATTCATGGTGAGTAATGGGTACAAGAGAACTCATGCTGACTCTTGTGTCTATATCAAACAATTTTCTGGAGGTAAATTCATCATTTTGTTGCTTTATGTTGATGACATGTTGATTGTCGGTCAAGATGCTTTTATGATTAAAAAGCTCAAAGAAGAGTTATCTAAGTCCTTTGACATGAAGGACTTAGGGTCAGCCAAGCAGATTTTGGGCATGGAGATAATTCGTGACAGAAAATCCAAGAAGTTGTGGCTGTCACAAGAAAAGTATGTTGAACGGGTGCTTGAAAGGTTCAACATGAAAGCAGCCAAATCGGTAAGCTCACCTTTAGCCAATCATATCAAGTTGAGCAAAGAGTCGTGTCCAAAAACATATGAAGAAAAGGAGAAAAATGGCAGTTGTTCCCTACTCTTCAGCAGTAGGAAGTATCATGTATGCAATGGTGTGTGCACACGGCCAGATATTGCTCATGCAGTAGGTGTGGTGAGCAGGTTTCTCTCTAATCCAGGGAAAGACCATTGGGAAGCTGTTAAGTGGATTCTCAGATATTTGAAGGGGACTTCTAAGATGTGCTTGTGCTTTGGCGGTTCCAAACCAATCTTGGAAGGATTTACAGATGCTGACATGGGAGGTGACCTGGATGGTAGAAAATCTACGTCTGGGTACTTGTTTACTTTTGCAGGGGGAGCCGTGTCTTGGCAATCCAAGTTGCAAAAGTGTGTTGCTTTGTCTACAACCGAGGCTGAATACATAGCCGCTACAGAAGCATGCAAGGAGTTGTTGTGGCTGAAGCGGTTTCTCCAAGAGTTGGGTTTGAAGCAAAGTGATTATGGCGTTTATTGTGATAGTCAGAGTGCTCTGGATTTGAGCAAGAACACTGCATACCATTCACGCACCAAGCACATTGATATTCGTTATCACTGGATTAGAGATGCTATCGAGAACAAGATGCTACACAGCTGAAGAAGATTCATACCGATAATAATTCTTCAGACATGTTGACAAAGGTGGTCACAAAATCAAAGTTGGAATTCTGCATTAAGGCTGCTGGGATGGATTCCAGGTAACTTGGAGTCATGATCGGAATTCCTCCCTCATGGACTGGAGGGGGAGATTGTTGGTATATGGTCCAGCCCATGATCAATGTTCTAGATTATTCTAGTAAGCAAGAGAGATGGCTGGAGCATGCTAGACAATTCTAGCATGTTATTAAGTTGATGGAAGAAGCTAGAGAGTACTAGCTTCCTTGGTTGCAAATGGAAAGATCTAGAAGCCACACTTTTGTGGCTAGTCTAGATCTTTCTATGCTAGAGGTTTGAAGAATACACTAGAAACTAGTAGAATGCCAAACCCTCACCTATAAATATGGGTGTGATGTTGTAGTGAACCAACAAATCAAGAGAAGAGTGAGTAGCAAAGGATCAAGTCCAAAGCTAGAGTTCCACTCCAAGAGTGAGAGTGAGAGTGTTCCACTACACATTGTGTGAGTGAAGTTTAGAGTGATAGAAAGTGTGTGTTATACTTTCTTGTATCCATCAAGCCTTGTCTTTGGCTTGGTAAGACTACTCTTGTTGTATTCATCTTTTTCATATAGTGAAGATTCCTTGTTTGGTGGACGTAGACATAAATTGCCGAACCACATAAATTCTTGGCGTCCATTTTCTACTTTACCTTGTGCATTCTCTATCTTGTAGTACCGACATTCCTAACAAAGGTAACGTTGCTGCCATCATATTTGAATTTCAGTGGCATGAAGGCATATCCAGAATCCAATCTAGAGGTGAAGTGATCAAGAATCAAAATCAGGGGTGCTTGGTTAGAAGCAACAGATGATGCAGCAGCTTCCGCAGAAAGTAAACATCGCGTGTGCAATGTACAAAAACACGGGCAGTCGACTCTGTTTTTTGAAGTCTTGGAGACACATCGGAGGCAAAAAATAGAGCTTATTGGCAGCCTCAAAAGGATGTCGTAAAGAATTTCGGTGGGGAGCTCCACCAGCCTTCCGTTGTTCTTGCAGCAGTGGCCCAATCTCCTGTGCTTCCTCCTCACCAGTTCCATTTCCATTTCCATTTCAATCTGAAAAAGAAAAAAAGAAAAACAAACCGATTGGAAACTATATGCGTATTCAGCAATGCTTGAGGCGCCAATTTTCCATCGTTACAGGCAGGGAAAAAGAGATTGAAAAAACAAGGAAACTCACGTTGGGAAACCCCCTCCAATAAAAAAGCAAACAAATTCGAATCAGAGATTCAAAAAATTAGAAGAACAAAAAGGAAAATAAAGAAGAGAGCAAATATTGTTGTTGCTTTGAGATCTTCGACTCAAGAAATACTACGTGGAAATAAAAATATCTCCACTCAAGAAATACTTAAATGGAGAATAAGCCACTAAAACCATTGACAAGTTGCCAAGAGTTTAGAAATCTTTTCCTTTTTAACTCAAAATATTGTTTTGCTTTGTTGAAAAAAGGGAAAACAATTAAAAATTCAGTATTAGGAGGACGGCATGAAGAAGTTGGGCTTTTGCTTTATAAACTGGTTGGCCCAACTATTTTCCACAGAAATTTTATTTTTTGGTAATTAATAAAATTTCAAGATATGATTTTTGAAAACTTTAACAAAACACTTTAGGTACTGTTTATTTTAATAAAAAAACACATTTTTACCCATAAAAATCAATCATGATACTATTAACTTTATAATTTATTTTGTCATTTTTTCTTCTTTAATATGGTATAAAATCATAAGAAAATTTAGGTACTGTTTATTTTAACGAAAAAACACATTTTTACCCATAAAAATCAATCATGATACTATTAACTTTATAATTTATTTTTTCATTTTTTCTTCTTTAATATGGTATAAAATCATAAGAAAATTTAGGTACTGTTTATTTTAACGAAAAAACACATTTTTACCCATAAAAATCAATCCTGATACTATTAACTTTATAATTTATTTTGTCATTTTTGTTAAAACTCAAAATTTTCAAATATTTTTTATTAGTTTTCTTATGATTTTATACCATATTAAAGAAGAAAAAATGAGTCCCTTCTCCCTTCCCTCCAAAAATAAATTTGGTGGGAAAATTATAGTCATAAATCATGATTGATCACTGACCCACGCCCAGCTAATCATCCATTGGATAATTCCTTGCATTTCTTCCTTTATTTAGGAGCCCCACTCCTCTGCTCCCGCTCCTACTTTAATCCCCCGCACCCCTAAACTCCCCAAAAATCCCGACTTTTGATTTGATTCAAAAGTCTAGAGAGAGAAAGTGAGAGAAAAGGCAGGAATGTTTGGATAGGCTTTCAGGACATATACAATACGCTTATGTAAGATGTTTGCGCATAAGCAATTGTATATTCCTACAATGCAGTTTCCGAGGGGGCACTTTTATATCCTTAAATAAGTGAATAGTACAGCTATAAAGTACTTTTGTGCAGCTTTCTAGTTAATGAATTTCCGTTTAAGTATGGACTTTTTGAAAAGTACAGTTGAAAACTAATCGTTGGGATTTTGTTGTGAATTGTGAGCTATCATTGGTGTCCATAGTTGCAAGCTATCCTCCATTTGAGGTTCTTTATTTTCTGAATTTGGAGAATAGTGGTCGTTTGTGAATGTGCTTTACTCAGCTCGTTATCAAGATCATGTAACTAAACGTGCAAGATTATCTATTCATTGCTTCCTTTTTTGTAATTTGTTATCTGCAGGCACGTGCTGCTTCAGCAATGCTGAATTTCAGTGAGAATTGCACTCCGGATATTTTAACACCGTATTTGGATGGAGTGGTGAGCAAATTGCTAGTACTTCTGCAGGTAATGCTTCCCAAGATTATGTATATATATACAAACACCTTATTCATGATGTAAAATTGTACTTAATTACATGCTTTTGAACTAGTACATTTTACTTGTGTCTGATTTTTCACGTTTCATGCAGAATGGAAAACAAATGGTACAAGAGGGTGCCTTGACTGCTTTGGCATCTGTTGCTGATTCATCTCAGGTATTGGACTATATAATGTGATATTATAGGTGAAATTTTTATTTTATTAATTTTATAGGACGGCAATAAGGCCGGCGATGCTGTATGGCACAGAATGTTGGGCGGTGAAACATCAACACGTACACAAAATGGGTGTAGCGGAGATGAGGATGCTTCGTTGGATGTGTGGGCACACGAGAAAGGATAAGATTAGGAATGAGGATATCCGGGGTAAAGTAGGAGTAGCCGAAATTGAAGGAAAGATGAGAGAAAAATCGGTTACGGTGGTTTGGACATGTTGACATGTGCAAAGAAGGCCTACTGACGCTCCGATTAGAAGATGCGACTATGGGACAGAGGTTCAGGGCCGAAGGGGTAGAGGAAGACCTAGGAAAACTTTGGAAGAGACTCTAAGAAAAGACTTAGAGTACTTGGATCTAACGAAGGACATGACACAGGATCGAGCACACAATGGCGTTCTAAGATTCATATAGCCGATCCCACTCAGTGACTTGGATTTTCCAAGTCTCCAACCGAGAAGTTTTCCTCACTCGGGAAATTAAGGGAACACTACCCCAACCTACATGCTCCACTCAGAAAGCTTCAACATACAAGCTTCAACAAAAGAAAATTCAAAGAACTTAGCGAAGAAGGCTTTGGTGTATTTAACACAATACGTTGAAATGAAGGAAAGCTTATTTATTGATATCCCCGATCAGCTACAAATATGTACATATACATGAGTCAAAATAAACACACAAGATGGAGCCTTCACAAAGGTTGCTTAGGAGAAGTCTCAGCAGTCGGTAGAGCCCCAGAAAGAGAAGGCACCGGAGGGGGATCATTTGGAGCCTCAGTACTGGACAGAACCCTAGAAGGAGGAGGCATCAGAGGTTGATCATTCGGAGCTTCATTACGCGGTACAGCCCCAGAAGACGAAGGCAATAAATGCCTTTGGAACAAACCCACAAATCTCTGATGATCAAGTAAAACCTGACCATCAGTTTCCTTCATCTGGTCAAGCTTCCTCTTCATGTTTGTAGCATAGTCATGTGCGAGCCGATGCAACTGTTTATTCTCATGCTTGAGCCCTCTAATCTCCTGTTTGAGACTCATCACTTCAGCCGCCAAGGATTCAACTTGGCGGGTTCGAGCAAATAGGCGTTGGGCCATATTAGACACAGAACCTGCACACTGAACACTGAGAGCCAGCGAATCCTTAACAGCTAACTCATCAGACCGTTTGGAAAGTAGTCTGTTATCTTTGGGAGTGAGAAGGTTCCTGGCCACCACCGCAGCGGTCATATCATTCTTCATCACGGAATCCCCAACGGTAAGAGGACCAGTAGGGGAGACGAAGGATGGGCGCCATATGTTGTCTGGAGAAGGCGGGGCTGCCTCTTCAACAAGGTTCAAGTCAAAACGACGGTCGGAGGGGCCAGACATTTTCCAAGGTGTTGAAGAGAGAAGAGGTCGGACAAATCAAGATCTTAGAAGTGCAAGAATGAAGCTTCTACTGGTGGAGATTCAAGTGTGCTTTGGAACTTAATGCCAGCCTCTATAAAAATCTGCACTCGACGGAGCTTCAGAAAGCGAAGAGGCGCCTGCTCAGAAATCGAAGAGGCGTTTGCTTTCTCAAAAGCTGGGCTGCTTAGAGATCACGAGGGTTGATCTCAGAAATCGAAGAGGCGTTTGCTTTCTCAAAAGTTGGGCTGCTCAAAGACCACGAAGGCCGATCTCAGAAATCGAAGAGGCGCTCGCTTTCTCAAAAGCTGGGCTCCTTAGAGACCACGAGGGCCGATCTCAGAAATCGAAGAGGCACCTACTTTTCCAGCCTTGTCAGCACCCGTCACACGCACACTCAGCTTTGCAGAAATTATGGGCATTCTGTCGAAGACTTATGGGGAAGTAGAAAACACATGAATCTTACTGTTCAATCACCCACTTCCCACACGCAACAATAGCTCATGGGTACCACAGATAACTTTTGCCAAAGTTCTTTGCCAAAGTTGAGCACGTGAAGCTTGCAGCTCCCACTACATCGCTCTGACCAAGAAGGGTAAAAGAATAGCAAAGAAACAGCACTAACAAAGTTTAGACCCATAAATTTTGAAGGTCTAGCTACCATATTATTACCCACAAGGGTAAAGGAACAGTACCACTGCTGGATAATTGGAAAGTCCCTGTGTGTCAACCTCTGTGCTTCGTGGCAAGGTAGACTAGCAAACATGCCCAACCTTTACTCACATTCGAGAAAACACTCCCAATAAGATTGCTTGCTCCAAAATCGAAGAGGCACCGTCCTCCGAATCTCGAGAGCCAGACTCCCAACATGACTACTTTCTTAAAAAATCGAAGAGAGGGTAAAGGAACAGTACCATTGCTGGATAATTGGAAAGTTCCTGTGTGTCAACCTCTGTGCTTCGTGGCAAGGTAGACTAGCAAACATGCCCAACCTTTACTCACATTCGAGAAAACACTCCCAACAAGATTGCTTGCTCCAAAATCGAAGAGGCACCGCCCTCCGAATCTCGAGAGCCAGACTCCCAACGTGATTACTTTCTCAAAAATCGAAGAGACACTGCTCCCCGAATCTTCGAGAGCCAGACCCCCAGCATGATTGCTTTCTCAAAAATCGATGAGGCATCGTTCTCCGAATCAATCGAAGAGGCGCTCGCTTTCTCAAAAGCTGGGCTGCTCAGAGACCACGAGGGCCGATCTCAGAAATCGAAGAGACACCTACTTTTCTAGCCTTATCAACACCTGTCACACACGCACACTCAGCTTTGCAGAAATTATGGGCATTCTGTCGAAGGCTTCTGGTGAAGTAGAAAGCACATGAATCTTACTGTTCAATCACCCACTTCCCACACGCAACAATAGCTCATGGGTACCACAAATAACTTTGCCAAAGTTCTCTGCCAAAGTTGAGCACGTGAAGCTTGCAGCTCCCACTACATCGCTCTGACCAAGAAAGGTAAAAGAATAGCAAAGAAACAGCACTAACAAAGTTTTAGACACATAAATTTTGAAGGTCTAGCTACCATATTATTACCCACAAGGGTAAAGGAACAGTACCACTGCTGGATAATTGGAAAGTCCCTGTGTGTCAACCTCTGTGCTTCGTGGCAAGGTAGACTAGCAAACATGCCCAACCTTTACTCACTTTCGAGAAAACACTCCCAACAAGATTGCTTGCTCCAAAATCGAAGAGGCACCGTCCTCCGAATCTCGAGAGCCAGACTCCCAACATGACTACTTTCTCAAAAGCGAAGAGAGGGTAAAGGAACAGTACCATTGCTGGATAATTGGAAAGTCCCTGTGTGTCAACCTTTGTGCTTCGTGGCAAGGTAGACTAGCAAACATGCCCAACCTTTACTCACATTCGAGACAACACTCCCAACAGGATTGCTTGCTCCAAAATCGAAGAGGCACCGCCCTCCGAATCTCGAGAGCCAGACTCCCAACATGATTACTTCCTCAAAAATCGAAGAGACACTGCTCTACGAATCTCGAGAGCCAGACCCCCAGCATGATTGCTTTCTCAAAAATCGAAGAGGCATCGTTCTCCGAATCTCGAGAGCCAGATACCACAGACCACTTTTTCAAAGTGCTCTGACAGAGTTAAAACATGTGAAACTGGCAGCTCCCACTACCGTGCTATGACCAAGCAGGGTAAAGGAATAACATTATTACTTGTTGTTAGGGAGACTCCTATATATGTCGACCTCCATCCCTAACGGACAGGCAGACCTGCAAAAATGCTCAACCCTTCATCATATCTGAGAGGGCACTCCCAACGAAGCCTTTCGAAATATTCAGCTTTCTTTCCCCCCGATAATACCTCTGCAAACAAGCTATACTAGAGCAAGAATATCTCATATCATCAGGGTTAAAAGCAAGAGTATCCCATATCATGCTTTTTCTCTGTCTTTTCCTTTTGCCTTGTTTTTACCTGCAAGACAAGGAGAAAGAGAGCAATCAGTCAGCACTTGGAATCAAGCTTCCAGCCAGGAACTGACTGCCTGGAACCCCTTACCTGATTACTTACCTGGCATTGCTCTCGAGTACTCATCTTCAACATCTTATGTTTCCAGGGAAGATTCCGCATCTGCTTGAGGAACAGATAGGGCAAGTGCGAAGGATACAAGGAAGCATGTGGAGACAAGCGTAACAGCACACGTGCCGATACATCTATTACTCTGTCAAAAGCAAAAGTATCCCATATCAGCAGGGTGGAACGTACTCTAGATTTGATGGACTTGTTTTGACCCTCAAATTCTTCAGTCGGCCTTATACTCTGGAGGAAACCAGAAAACCCTCCAGCTCAGTTCAAGAATAAGCCTGTGGAAAGTTACTTCTTCAAAAGCAAAAGTATCTCATATCATCTCTTCTCATTTTTCTTCTCTTTATCCTTCATGCTGCTGCAAGATGGGGAGAAGGTGAACAATCAGTCGGAGCTCTGATTGCTTACCTTGTCTGTCACCTCTTTCAGCAGACCCCCTAGCTCGGCGACTTGGGGGACTCCTACTACATGGTTTGTATCGCGCTTGACCAAGCCTGAGACTACAAGTAAGCTTCAAGTGAAATTGATACATTACCTTGTGCATCTCCACCAGTTAAAGATACCACCCCTGGATGGAGGAAGAGTACTTCCAGAGAAGATGCCACATCTACCTATGAGACAGATAAGGCAAGTCAAGACGACACCACACTCCGATACTTAGAAGTTTCGTGATTACGAGATCATTCTCCCACAATATTTCCTAATGTCATTTGTACTAAATCATTCACTTGTACTCACTAAAGGAGAGCTTGAACCTATGTACTTGTGTAAACCCTTCACAATTAATGAGAACTCTTCTATTCCGTGGACGTAGCCAATCTGGGTGAACCACGTACATCTTGTGTTTGCTTTCCTATCTCTATCCATTTATATACTTATCCACACTAATGACCGGAGCAATCTAGCGAAGATCACAAAAAGCGACCGTTTTTCGCTACCTAGGATCTATCTTGCAAGAGAACGGAGAATTAGATGGAGATCTCAACCATAGAATACGAGCTGGATGGATGAAGTGTAAGAGTGCATCCGGCGTGTTGTGTGACCGTCGTAGGCCACTGAAGCTCAAGGGAAAATTTTATAGGACGGCAATAAGGCCAGCGATGTTGTATGGCACAGAATGTTGGGCGGTGAAGCATCAACACGTACACAAAATGGGTGTAGCGGAGATGAGGATGCTTCGTGGGATGTGTGGGCACACGAGAAAGGATAAGATTGGGAATGAGGATATCCGAGGTAAAGTAGGAGTAGCCGAAATTGTAGGAAAGATGAGAGAAAATCGGCTCCGATGATTTGGACATGTGCAAAGAAGGCCGACTGACGCTCCGGTTCGAAGATGTGACTACGGGACAGAGGTTCAGGGCCAAAGGGGTAGAGGAAGACCTAGGAAAACTTTGGAAGAGACTCTAAGAAAAGACTTAGAGTACTTGGATCTAACGGAGGACATGACACAAAACCGAGCGCAATGGCGTTCTAGGATTCATATAGCCGACCCCACTTAGTGGGAAAAGGCTTTGTTGTTGTTGGATGATTAAGTTTGATGGAATGGGATTTGTAGGATCATTTTCAAAAATATTATGATGCAGTTATGCCTTACCTGAAAGCTATCTTGGTGAATGCCACTGACAAGTCCAATCGCATGCTTCATGCCAAATCGATGGAGTGTATTAATTTGGTTGGAATGGCAGTTGGAAAAGAGAAATTCAGGGAAGATGCTAAGCAAGTAAGGCATTATACATTTAAAACTACATTTACTTTATTGGACTTGGGATATGAATGGCTATTTGATGGATGATGGTTTCATTTTATTTTTTAAGGTGCTTGTTCATGCAGACTTAAATTTTGGCTATTTTGAACCATTTCCTACCTTACTCCTCCCAATAGATTTTAATTTTGTCAAAATTCGGAAATTGACTTCTTCTTTTTTTCCTCTTCGGCACTCTCCTATGCTTAAGTTATATGCATCAGCTCTTTTCTGATTATCCGTTGGGAAATTATAATTTGAGTCTTTCAACCTGTGAACATGCTGCTGCCATTTTGGCCAATCTAAAAACCTAATAGAAAAATGCTGCTGCCATTTTGGCCAATCTAAAAACCTAATAGAAAAATGCTGCTGCCAATTCATCTAAATCACAGACTGGTGTTTACTGTTTCTCTGAAGGTCATGGAAGTGCTGATGGCTTTGCAAGGATCTCACATGGAGACGGATGATCCAACTACAAGTTACATGTTACAAGTATGCCCTTATCTTATAATTGCACTGAAATTACTATAGTAAAGCTTATTGTTTGCAATAAAAATTTATCTACAATGTTGTAGGCCTGGGCTAGACTCTGCAAGTGCCTAGGACAAGATTTCCTCCCACACATGAGTGTGCTAATGCCTCCTTTGCTTCAATCTGCTCAACTTAAGCCAGATGTTACTATCACATCTGCAGATGACGAAAATGATATTGATGACTCTGATGATGATAGGTCTGAAACTTTTCTCATTTCCCTTTTTTGTAAGTTCAATACCAACAGGCATGTATGATATCTCAAATGTTGCATCGCTACCTATTTCTTGTATCCTTCCTAAATTTTGATATGTGATGTACCTGAATCTAGTGTAGAAACTTTCACTGCATGGATAACCAGTGGTTTTAACATCCACATCAACTTTTTTATATGCTTCTATACTTGATAATTATCTGGTTAAGTTACCAAGTACTGATTTGAGTGTTTGAGGTGTAGTTTTGGTGAGTGAGTGTGTAAAAGATATCAAGATCTGGAAATAGGGCTGTTATGTAGCTCTGTATTACTCCTTCTCTAGCTAAAAGCTGCTTTTGTGTTACAGTATGGAAACAATTACTCTTGGGGATAAAAGGATTGGAATCAAGATTAGTGTCTTGGAGGAAAAAGCTACAGCTTGCAATATGCTGTGTTGCTATGCTGATGGGCTGAAAGAAGGATTCTTTCCCTGGATTGATCAGGTATTCGATAGTGTCACGACTATTATTTTTTTGTCCGACTTTGGTTGAATACTTACAAAGGTCATATTTGTGTAGGTTGCCCCAACTTTGGTTCCACTTCTTAAGTTTTATTTCCATGAAGAAGTTAGGAAGGCAGCTGTTTCAGGTACCATTAATTGTTAATACTCAATGTTTTATTTTTCTCTTTCCTCTACAAATTTTGTTGGAGTTTGCTCCGTTTCTTAATGAAGAGATATCTACTTTTTGTTTCTAGCAATGACGGAGCTACTGAGTACTGGATACTAATCATGTTCCATGCTATGCCACTTACTGTTTTATTTTCTTTTCATTGCAGAAGAAAATCATTGGTTTGATTTGCAAGAACTTTTATAATTAAATCTCTGCCTTTTAGATTTTGGGCTTGAACTTGGAAATGCTGGCAGTCACCGCAGTGTAGTACTAATTGATTTGTTTTGAAGTAGCCAATCCTTGATTTTAGTTTGCATGGAAGCAGTGAACGAGCCAACTGTTTTGGGAGAAATGTTTTGTTGAGTTAATCTGAATTTGCTTTGTTCAAAAGACAAAATTTTTTTTTTCGTGTTTTCGTTTTTTTTATTGTGAATCATTTCTTGAGTATGGCCCCGTTCATGCACCTTGTATCTTTGCTTTCAGACATCTGGACCACTTTTAGATGAAAGCCAGGTGAGATCCATCGTGGAGGAGATAAAGCAGGTGATCACTGCCAGTTCTAGTAGAAAAAGAGAGAGAGCAGAAAGGACCAAAGCAGAAGACTTTGATGCCTGAGGAACAGGAGCTGATTAAAGAGGAAAATGAACAAGAGGAAGAAGTTTTTGATCAAGTGAGTTTTTTTAACACAATCCCTAGGTAGCTCGTCAACAACAATATTGCTGATTTTTTAATTTTTGGGCCATCATTTATGTAGTGTGGGACTTTTTGTCCTGGTTCTCTTCAACACATTTTTTAATTGTTTCAGGTTGTTTTTGTGGGCGCGCGCCTGAGGTTCGGGAGTGTTGTTGGTCGACAAATTCTTGTTGCATTTCTGGTCTCCTTGTGTTTTAATGTATTCTATGCCTACTTTTTATATTGTGTGAATCTGTTGACTAGAGGTTGAGAGGTTGATTCTTTCATTGTGTTGGCAATTTTGATCGCAAAAGGCAATAAATTTGGCCATGCTTTTTACAATGGTAGATGCTCTTGTGTTGTGTTGTGCTGGATTGAACTTCCTCATCTCCCCCACATTTTCCTCTGTTTCTAATTGAAGAATAGTTTAAAATTTGAAAGAAAAAAAAATAGTCACCGAGGGGGTCTGTAAATTTGCAGAGCTTGTTTCTCAACATTTTGAGTTTGAACAAATCTTAGTTCGACGCAATTTGTTTTCATGATACAAACAGCCTTGAGTTTGGAATACTTCAGAAAAATTTGGATTAGAACTATCATAATTCTTGTATGCATTTTAATTTTTCAAAAAATATTCGAATTTGAAATTTTCGAGTTCTCATGTGAAAATTTTACTTTTAAAATCGGAAACATCATTTCAACTTGTACGCATAAGTTATGGTACATATGAGAAGAATGAGACACAAGAAATCGGATAAGTGCCATCTCTCATGTACATCAAATATTTATTGTGCTTTACATAGTAGTTTTAATGTGTCACGCGATAGATTTATACATTGTTTTTAAGAAACAGACTAATACTAAATGGAGACAATTTATCTGTAAACTCCAAAACCGATGTTTGCTTGAACCATAAAAGTCGCATACTTAGGCTCTGTTTGGTGTTACATTTTTCCATCAAAAAGCTGCTTCAATTTAAAGAGAAAACACTAAATTTTGTTTGATAAAAATTTATTGGCCTAGAATACCCCTTATATTAATGAATGAGTAATTTTCTACAAAATAAGGAATGAAGGAGACTGGTAAGAGAGGGCATTTGTGTTAGAAGGATACTTTTCAAAATGAACAATTCTGTAGGAAAAAAAAGAAGGAAAAAACGTGTCAAACCAAGAGCAATTACATTGGCTTTTCAGCAGGAACTCCTGCTAATTGTTCAGCAACCAACTTTTGTTTTTCTTAAAGTACAACAAAAGCTATTTTAAAAATAAGCACATCAATTTCTTTTTGTCATCTTATATTTTTGATAGAATATTTTATAATATTGATACATAAATTGACGTTAAATTGTTAGGTAGTAAAAAGATTCTCATTTAAAAGACTCCTTTTAGCATTTTTCAATATTAAATAGACGAAAACATTTGCAATTTTGCATCTTTTCATAACCGCATAACCAACTAGCTAGCCTACGAAGCCTAGCCTAGCCATGATAATACGGTTACTTCACTTTGATTTTTCTGAAATTTGGGTAATGTATTTTTCTTTTCTTTTCTCAATAAACTATTGTTTGATATTCATTAATTAATCAAAATAAATACAAATATGCCAATTTGTGTGTATTTATGAGTGTGACAATGTGACTCTAAATTCAACCTTCCAATATAATTAGAGATGGGTGTGACAATATCTTTTTTGTACACCAAATTAAATTAAAGCTTCCAAAGTATAGTCGATATTCTTGGCTCGTAAGTGACTCGAATGCCATTTAAGACAACTAAAAGCATCTAATTATATATCATATGCCAAATGTTGTTTGTTTTGACAACTAATGTATGAAAATTAATAGGTGCGTATAGATAATTCATATAAGATAAAGTATATATGAGGTAAAGTAGGAGGTGACTGCAATTGAAGATAAAATGAGAGAAAATTAATTAAGGTAGTTTGGACACGTGAATCGAAAACTTACATATATTTTGGTTAAAAGATGCAACTATAAGATGGAAACTCAGGGCAAAAAAAGTAGAGTAAGATCTAGAAAGACTTGCAAATAGACTATAAGAAAAGATATGAACTACTTAGAGCTAATAGAAGATTAGATGCAAAACCGAATACAGTTGCGTACTATAATGCAAATAGCCGATCACATTTAATAGGATAAGAAATATTTCCTCACTTAGTATTAGTAATTGTAGATAACTGATGATAGTAGGCGATCAATTAGTTATCCTAACCTAATCAATTAGTCAGTTGTATTCAGTTAGTCAGTGTGAAACAGTATACAGGCATGCGTGACTATTGGCCAAATCATATCAGATATAGCAAAACTTATGTCATTTGGACTACACGTATAAAACTTACTTTAGGCTATGTTGGATGGGTCTACCAATGTCTCAAGAGATTGAGACGCACATCATCCTTATTATAGAAAATTCTATTTCAATCCTTGAATAATATTACTTCGAGAATAAAAACATATATAAGATTAAAAATTAACTTTAGTCATTGACATTTAATTGTAACAATCAAATACTAATTAAGTTGTAATAGTTATTGAGATTTTATTATTTGACAATTATTATTAAGTTTCCACAAAAACAAAAAAACCATATGTATCATATATTCTTAATTGGTGCGTAAATTTGTCTATATGTATGTATATGCATATTACATTCTTATGTATGTACTATAGTTATGTTCTGATACATTTTGTACTAAAACTTATATACAGATATATTCGTATCGAAACTTATGTACCGATGCAATTGTACCGAAATTTATATACCGATAGTACATTCGTACTAAAACTTATGAACCGATACATTCATACCAAAACTTATATACTCATACTACATTTGTACAGAAACTTATGTACCGATACATTCGTACCAAAACTTATGTACTGATACATTCGTACCGAAACTTATGTACCTAAACTTATGTACCGATGCAATCGTACTAGAACTTATGTACTGATACAATTGTACCGCAACATTCGTATTGAAATTTATGTACCGATACATTCGTGCCGAAACTTATGTACTGATGCAATCGTAAACATCGAAAGTTGTTTCGAAAATAAACATATTAATTCCTCTCTATCACCTTATATTTTTTATGTGATGTTTTACAATATTAATACATAATTTAACGTTAAACTGTTAGGTAGTATAGATATTTCTCTTAGTATTTTTCAATATTAAATGGACGAAAGCATTTGCAATTTTGCATCATTGCATAACCGCATAACTAGCTAGCTTACTAAGCCTAGCCTAGCCTAGCCTAGCCTAGCCATTATTTTATATCACTTTGATTTTTCTGAAATTTGGGTAGGTATTTTTCCTTTTTTATACTTCCGAAAATTGTTTTTTATTTGACCCAGGTCACATTTCTGAATTTATTCAATACAATCAAGGGTAGACCTCTTGTGGATTTCGTGGCAAATAAGATCGCAGAGCATATGGTGAATATTATCGATGAAAAGCAAAATTTCAACCTAACACCCGATGATGTGAAGAAGCATCTATGGATCCTTTTGAAAGCTAATATCAGTAATGCTTCATTTGATGACCTAAAAGAAACTTTCTCATCTCCATGCACAAGATCATTTATGGAATTCTTTTTCACTTCCAAAGGACTCCTATACACAATTTTAATATGCATATCATCATCTTGATGACCACTGAGAAGTTTAACGTATGTGTTTGTGTAGGATCATGATGGTTCCCACATCAAACGGTTTTTGATTAATTTTTTTCATTTTTATTGGTCCTCGCTTCTTAAAATTGACCACCACTTTTTGTTGGGTTTATAACTCCTATTTTGAAGGTTAGTTTATATTGTTTGACTACCATATGCTTAGATAACTTCAATATGAGTTAAAGATTGTTATCAAGTACAAGAATGCACATATGTATTCCTTGTTTTTAACTTGTATGTTTGGAGTGGATCTGTATAGGCGATTAAGAAGGATGGCAGTCAAGATCATCATTCTCGAGCATTTTATTCAATCAGAGAGTTTAAGGACTGGAGAGAAGAGACGGCAATGTTGCTGACTATTCCATCAAGTATTACAAGGTACGTGTTCCTTATGTTTTCAACTTACTCTTCATGCACCATGCATATTGTCATAAGTACTCTTATTCTTGTACAATATATGTACATGCTTTTAGGGGTTGGCTTCATGCAACCTTGAGGAAATGAAAGAATATTTTGAAAATATTGAGGATCATAAGAAATGCTCTCTTTGGGACGATAACGTTGAGGATGTAATCACTCTTGCTTTTAGTAAAAACAGAGTAGAAGATAGAAGAGATTGGCTTGCCAAGTATGCGGATTCACAACCTAGTAGTCATTTTAATCCTCGACAGACATTCAAAACATACAATGACTTTTTCCAAAATGTGTTTAGAGAGTTTTGTAGGGATTATCTGCAAAGATCAATTCCATCAATGGTTGATGGATTGAAACGCGTTCAAAGAAAAATTATGTTATGTGCTTTTAAGAAGAAATTGTTGACGAATGAGAAAAAGTTTCTCGGTTTCCTAGTTATGTTTTAGAGCATTGTTCCTACCACCACAGTGAGGAATATCGCCAATGCTATTGTTGGAATGGCACAAAATCATGTGGGAGATGAGGTAAATATACTGGAGCTTTAGCTTAAATTTGTAGCATACGTGCATACAAATGAGATAAGCATAGTAAAGTCAAATAAAGATGTTGAAGGCAATATTATCTATGTACCGAAAAGGAAGGCTGTTGATCGATGAGCTACAAAAGAAAGATTTATTGCTGGATCACTTGAAGGATGGTGCACCAACCAAAACTTATATACAGATACATTCGTATCGAAACTTATGTACCGATGCAATTGTACCGAAATTTATGTACCAATAGTACATTCGTACTGAAACTTATGAACCGATACATTCGTACCAAAACTTATATACTCATAGTACATTTGTACCGAAACTTATGTACCGATACATTCGTACCAAAACTTATGTACCGATGCAATCGTACTAGAACTTATGTACTGATACAATTGTACCGCAACATTCGTATTGAAATTTATGTATCGATACATTCGTGCCGAAACTTATGTACTGATGCAATCGTAAACATCGAAAGCTGTTTTAAGAATAAGCATATTAATTCTTCTCTATCACCTTATATTTTTTATGTGATGTTTTACAATATTAATACAGAATTTAACGTTAAACTGTTAGGTAGTAGAGATATTTCTCTTAGTATTTTTCAATATTAAATGGACGAAAGCATTTGCAATTTTGCATCATTGCATAACCGCATAACTAGCTAGCTTACTAAGCCTAGCCTAGCCTAGCCATTATTT